GGCAGATGCAAAGATTGTGTAATCTTCAGATATGTTTTAATTTACTGGAAATCTTTAAGAGAAATGTAAATTAGTTCAACAGAAGCTTAATCTGTACTTCTATACTAATATAATAAAGCGTAAATACACTTCTTTGTTGCCTAAGGTGTCAGCAATCACAGCATATTTTTGAATAATTCTTTTTTTTAACTAAAAGCCATACACTTGCGTTACGCTTTAGGCCATTATTATTCAGGTATTTTAACGCCATTAAGCTTAGGTGGTTATTATTTTAAATTAAAACCTCAATGTGAGAAAGAGACCACAAGTTGCTGCCAACATCAAGGAAGCAAGGGACTTTTAACAGTGGTAGAGCCCGCTTTAACATGTTCGCACTATAAGACAGGCTCGCCCGGTGTAATACAACGACCACACAGAAAACAGGCGTGAAGTGGAAGCAATTCCGCGTATCGTCTGATGAGTGTGGTGAAGGCCTAAATTTTGTCCCTTTTCTTTTCCACCCATTTCTTAAGAAAAGAGTATGGAAAGGAAAAGTGGATTGGACGGTGAAGGAGACGTATGTGAAGGGAAATTGTCGGCTTTATGTGCGTCTCCTCTTCTGTCAATTAAGTGTAGGCAACGCATCTGCCATTGCGGATGTTTATGGGCAGCGGTCGCTTTCCATTTCGGTGGATTCAGGTGGCCCCTTGCTCGTTTGCCACCTTATATTATAAAAAAGGGAGTGGATTCAGATATGACGGCTGATTTGTATGGAAGAGCAGCACATACTATGCCGCTCCTCTTTAGAGATGATGCCAAGTCGATGAGTGTACAAATAAAAAGTTTTTTTTTTAATATCGCTAAAATAATGCTATCAAAGATTAACTACTTTTCACTTCCGAGTAATGAAACCGAGGTATAATTAAAGCTGTAATCATTATCTTAATGAACTAACTTAATAAAAAATACCCTCGTGCTCAAATTTGACAAGTCACTTGAAGTTATTGAACTTGTTTTTGCTTATTTCATAACTTGATTGTTCCACTTCCTAGAATAGGATCGTTTTGATGTTACGTTAGTTATAATTTTTACAACGAATCGTTCAAGTTGTCATGTAAAAAATGTGACATTTTAATTTTGTTCTCGACGAGCAAATATTGTTTTTTTTTTTGCATCGACTAGTTTGTACTCTACATATATTAAAAAATGACTAATAATAATATTGAAAAGCATTTTACATTTTAGAAATATGTCAAGTTTTATTTGGATACTATGCTTTAAACCTGTGCCAAATTTCATGGAGATCCGTTCAGCCGTTTAGGCTACAAACGCTAACAAACATCCATCTATCCATCCATCCATCCATCCATCTAAACTTTCGCATTTATAATATTAGTAAGATGTATTTGAGTAGCGGTCCGGTTATGATTGAATGTTTTTTTATTGTAAACTAGCTGTTGCTTGCGTCTTCGCGCGGAAATAGTAATAAATATAAGTCAGTGATAACGTAGCTATTTATTGGTAAAAGAATTTTTAAAATCGGTAAAGCCGTTTTTGAGTTATTTCAATACTTACAAAAATACAAATATTTTCTCTTTATATTACTATAGACTTATTTATTGCCTGTTTTTCAGGGACGAAGTAGTTAAGTTAATAACATACATACAAAAATATAAACCTTTATTAATAGTCGAATAAATACTGAAATGTTTTGTCTTATTCATATTTATAGGTTACTAGCTGTTGCTCGCGACTTCGCCCTCATGAAATTAAAAAATATAGTCTATGTTACTCACAGATAAATTACCATTCTAACGGTGAAAGATCTTTTAAATTCGGCCCAGTAGTTTTTGAGTTATTTCAATACATACAAAGGGGCAATATCCTCATTATGTGCGTCTCCTTCTCCGTTGGATAAGGGTAGGCAACGCATCTGCGATCGCGGATGTCTATGGGCAGCGGTTGCTTCGACATTTTGGCGGATTAAGGTGGCCTTGCTCGTTTGCCACTTTATATTATATAAAAAAAAATCCTTCCCCTTTTTATAACGTTAGTATAGATATAAATAAGAACTCTGTAACTATATACAAAACTGTTTGTCCGTTGGTATCACAGTATTGTACTATAGTTAAGAGATATTCTCACGCAATATATTCATATATATAATATATCATATTGTATATGATATTCTAACAGTGGTAGTGCCCGCTTTAACATCTTCGCACGAATGGGCCGGCTCGCCCGGTGCAATACCACGACCACACAGAAAACAGGCGTGAAGTGGAAGCAATTCCGCGTTTCGTCTAATGAGTGTGGTGCCGCAGGCCTAATTTTAGTGAAGTTCCCTTTCCACCCTTTTCTTATAAGGAAAGGATGGGAAGGAAAAGTGGATTTGACGGTGAGGAGACGCATAGGAAGGGGAAATGTCCTCTTTATGTGCATCTCCTCCTCCGTCAGTTAAGAGTAGGCAACGCATCTGCAATTGCGGATGTTTATGGGCAGCGGTCGCTTTCCATTTCGGTGGATTCAGGTGGCCGCTTGCTCGTTTGCCACCTTATATTATAAAAAAAAAATTAAAATATTTATTTTATAATTTTGAAATGTAAAAATTCTATTTGTTATGTTAATAATCGGACAGTAATCAGATGTCAGGAATAAAAGTGTGGTATTAACACGGCTACACGACGGCCATGTTGGTAGTGGCGGCAGAGAGTGTGAAGACACGGAAAAACGGTGTTATTGGTAAGGTTATTCTGTACAAATTGGAAGAAAACATACGAACTAAACAAGACTATATTGTAGCATAATATGGCTGTGGCTCCTATATTAGTTATTGAGCTAATTCCAGTCGTAACAAAAGCAAGATAATCTCTTTTTCAGTAGTACACCGAAGCTATTTGTAGTTTTTATATTAAGTTTCAGCTTTGACTGATTAATGATTTAATCTTATTTCTCACTAATATTATAAATGCGAAAGTTTATATAGATGTTTGTTAGAGATTGTATCCTTAACTACTGAACGGATCTTAATAAAATTTTACATAGATGTAGAGGATAGTCTGGAAGAACACATAGGCTAGTTACTTTTGTGTCTACTCCACGAGGAAGCAGTCATCAGCTAAAGCTAGTGTTTTAATAAATAAAACCACCTAACGAAAAAAAAAGGACGTTTTCAATCAGAATACACCCGTGGTTTGAATTAATAAGGAACTAAACTCATTTAAAAACAGAGCTAGTGTTTTGATAGGTTTATGCGACAGAAAAACGAAGTTATGTTATTAACAAGCACCGTAATGCGTTATTATTTCATTCGCATAACAAAACCCGCTATTTATTTAAATTAGTGTTTTGTAGACAAGCGGCAGACGGTGACCCGGATTTACTATCATCTATACTATTATAATAAAGCGTAAACACACTTCTTTGTTGCCTAAGATTTTAACGCCGTTAAACTTAGAGGTAAATATTTTGGATAAAAACCCTAATGTGGGAAAGAGACCTTAAGTTGTTGTCAACATCAAGTAAGCAAGTTTGCCATGGTTTGACATGATGTCATGTCATTTTGACATTTGCAATTGATAATTTGACAAATGTGAACAATAACATGAAGTTTTTATAATTTAATGCGCATGAAGTCGCATGGGAACAGCTAGTTTGTAATATAAAAGTTTATGTGGAGATATTTCGCTATTATACTCGTAATGTATGTTAATAATTTGCTTATAGATATCTCACTAATATTACTAATGCGAAAGTTTAGATGGATGTAGGCTTATTTACAGCCTAAACGATTGAACGGATCTCGATGTAGATTTTAATTCCACGCGGACGGAGTCGCGGGCAAAAGCTAGTAAATAAGATACAATAAAGTTTTGGTCGTAATGTCATGTTAAGATTAGCCACGAACCTAAACCCACGTGGACTGAGATTTATTAATTAAAATTATACATCTTTGTTACAGGTGGCGGAACTAGCATCAATGGCCTGAAACGATGTTTAGAACGGCGTCAGTCGAGGGCTCCGGGCCCAGGACGCCGCCGGCCTACGCCCCTCACCCCCCGCAACTGGCACACCCGCCGCACCCCCCGTACCCGCCGCGCTTCTACCCGCCCCGGGTCCGACCTCCGCCACCGCAATACTGCTTCGACGCAGCGCGCTTCGCCTGCGATGCCTCCAAGCCTAGATACTTGGACGTCGAAAGGGAACGCCTGGTTACCAGATGGCTTGCGGAAGCGAACGAGGCGTTAGTCCGGAGAGACCGGCCTCCAAGGTACAAGCCTAGAAGTAGCGAGAGAAGACCGGATTATTTAGAGAGAAGACCGAACTCGGAATGGTCGGATAACTTTCTCCTTGGTCGGAGAAACGGTTCTATAGAGTTGGAGGATGAGACTAGTGATGTGATGTCGTTGAAAGATTTTGTGGATAAGTTCTCGTTGCCTCGTGTGGTGAAGATTGAGGGTGAGGAACGGCCGGTGCTGCTGTACCGAGTGCTGGAAGCTCACAGGAGAGTGGAGGCAGTACCACTCTCGGGGAAGAAGGGCAAGCTGGTCGGGAAACCGCTGTACATTCCGGACTCTTATGACGGTGAGTAATGCTCTTTTGTTTTGAAAAATCTAGTGTTTTGTTTTACTTATATTGTAGATGAAGAGCGGGCGCACACCTTTGATTAAACTATCGCACAACAGTTGTGCGATTGTCGATTGTTTCGCAGCCTTCAACTGTTTAGTTGCACAACTAAAAATCGAGTAGTGCACATCTATATAAGCTTATAGGAAACAAAGCGAGACTAAACAGTGCGATAGTTAAGTCGAAGTGTGTGCGTGGGCTCTAAGTTCAGTTTGACGTCATATGTAGATTATAATAATTAGCAAAAGGTTGAATAAAGCTTAGTTTTAAAAAAATCAGTCATCTATCGAGTTTCTAACCTCATTTTATCTAAATCGAGCTGTTTAAAAAAGCCCAAAACTTTGAAGGAATTATACAAGTTACGTTAAGTTGCAGAGGTTGAGATGAGAGTTAACTTAACTATTAAGGAATTACTTAACATTTTCAATATATTGCATTAACTATTAGCTACGAGTACTATAATGGTAATCGCCTCAAGCAATAATAACCTTTATGAACACGACATAATGATCTAAATACCTTTGCATCACTGAACTAGAATTGACTGTCATCTTTTGACACTCGGTTACATAACATTTAAATTTATATAAAGATATAGTTGGTCTAATTTATCTGGCCCGGTGATTCACTATTACTGCCAGAAAATATATACTATCTATACCTACATATACTAATATTATAAAGAGGAAAGATTTGTATTATTGTATCCATTGCAGTAACTCAAAAACTATTCGGCCGATTTTAAAAGTTCTTCCACAATTCAAAATAAAAAA